AGGCCGCGATATCGTATGCTCTAATAAATTTGTTAGTCTCTAAGGTGCCACAAGTACTCCTGTTCTTTCAGAGCTTTTACCAAACCAGCTCCTGGTGGTGGGAGGGAGAAGTTTCTGAGCCTCACAGAGCAATTCCTCAGGTCTGGGAAGCTCAAAAGCTTGGACCTTCCCCACAGAATCCGAGAGACAGACGGGACCTCAAGGGTCATCTCCTCTAGCAGGAGTCGGTCCAGTAAAAGACAGGACCTCCCCCAACCTAGCTTCTCCCTGTAGACTCCTCTCTTCCCAGCCAGGCGGCACTGCAGAACTGATCGGCGACATAGGGATGTATTGCCGAGAAGTCGTATTGGCAGGATGGCTGCAGATTTACTGTGCTCAAATCCACTCAGCACAGATATTAAAGCAGAGCCGCATTAAACTCAGAGCTTTGCATTAAAATAATGAGGGCTGCCAAGCCAGGGCTACCATTAACCAAGCGCAAATCATCCCAGTTGGCTCAGTGGTGAGAGACCGAAGCAGCGTCAGTGTCTGGAATACTCCGAGCATGAGACATGACAAAAAGAGACGGGACAGAGGTCTCTAAAGAAGAACTGGGCAGCACGAAGTGAAGCATCTGTAAGTGAAAAGGGGATCTAGACACCCAGCTTTATTGTACTCTCAGCTTCTGCTTTTAAATGTCACCCTCTCTCGACCGCGTCGCTGGCAACACACAGACTACCCCGTGTGTGTGACAAAGGCAACGGCTGATGCAGGAAGGAAACATTCAGGTCAAATCTGGACCAAGCTAATCATCATCATCTGACAACTCTACTGTCCCTTTCAACCAAAGGGCTTTGCAAATCCTACTTATAGAGGAAGCCATTCACACACAGCTCAAATGCAACCACATCTAAGGTGAAAGGCAGCAATCAGATGACAGCTCTTCACTGCTCAACTGGGGGGTGGAGGAAGAGGAGATGTTTTGGCTAAGGACAATGTGACAAACCCCTTCCTTTACAAAAAACAGTGCCAATGAGATCCGAGCAGACAGGGCCTTGGCCTTCCAAGGTCTTGCCTGAAGGAATCCCACACAATGGACAGAGGAAACCCAGTTTAGCTCACATGGAAAAAGGAAAAGCTGGGCTGGATTAGACACCATGGAACCCCAATGGACCGGCCTTGATTTGCGGAAATTCCCTTAGAGGAAATCCAGGTAGGCTTTGGTTCCTCCACTGCATAGTCCCCAGTAGTTGGAAAGTCTGTGGACCCAAGGCACAGACCTAAAGTCCGCTTAAGGGGTTTTCCTACACACCGGCCAGGTGTCAAGCCACTGATCAGACCACCAAAAAGTTACAGGGAGCTAATCACAACCGGGAGAAGAGCCCAAGGATTCAGTGCTGCACCAAGAGGACCCTCACGCGTGCTCCCCCTCCTAGCATGCAGCCTCTTAGCTAGGGACGCTCGCGACCAGCCCTTCTACATGGGGGCCACAGAGGCATTCCCCAAAGGCAAGGGAGGCTCCAGGCTGGAGGCAGAAAGGGAGGGATGTGGAAGACACAAGCCGTTAAAAGCCGCAGTCTGTTAAAGCAAGCAGAACGAGGACACGGTTGCAGCGCTTTGGGAGCAGATGCCACCTGGCAGGCAGCTCGTGGGCATCCGAGGAGCTGGTCTTTTGCTTCCATAGCAGAATGCAGTAAACTAGACGAGGTTTCTTTCAAGCAATAGTAACACACCTGCCTATCCAAGCACTCTAGGCACCCTGACAATCTTACCACCGCACACTACACCCAGAAGCACGGAAAAACAAACACTCCAACAGGAACAAATTAATTCAGTGCAGCCAGACAGTGAATCAGCAACAAAAAGGTGAGTAAATTAGTAAATGATGTTCCTGTAACCGTCCCAGTCGTGCTAAGGCAGGATTAAAGCACACTGACAGACACAGCGAGAACTTCAAGGCATCTGGAATGACAGACCTTGCAAAGAAATAGGGCAACATGACACAGAATAGCTATTAGCCAATTGCATCTTTAACACCATAAAACGTCTCGTAGGATCATCGACTCTAGACTTGCAAACTAACATTATGCCAAACGCATTAGGAGAAATACAAGCTCGGTATTAATGTCTGCCACTCGTCACGCTAACGTGCAGCATGGCCACCCCAGAGCTTCTCTTTTCACTGGTTAAAGCCATCTCGGTCACACCTCTCCCAGTCACCACAAGACTCCAAGGGACCTTCCCCGTCCAATTACCACACTGCTCTACTCTAAAGTGCTCAGTAACAGAAGTGACCTTTGAACATGTATCTCAGCCCCTAAGCAGTGAGCCAGCGTAGGTGTGTCTATATCGGGGTGAGTCCCAGCACTCAGTACACACAGGCCAGGAACGTGACCGCCCAAGGAGTATTTATCCCCACACAATCTAGCCCCAGACATAGTGCCAAGGAATTAACGGCACCTGTGGCCGAAGCAGCCCGTCTCTGAGCAGGGCACTGATCAGGTGTCCTGTTATACATGCCTTGTGCAGAGTGGAAGGATATTGGACTATAAATAATGCACACTCAGGTGATCTGAGAATGGAGATTTTGGCAAACTCCCAGTGCCATCTCTGCAGCTTTGGGGCAGCTCTGGCAGGTAACGCAGGGCCAGCACCGAAGGGCAGTTTGGGGCAATTCCCCTGGCAGTATTAGGAGAAGAGACACAAATGCCAAGACCACAGCCAATCATGCTGACCAACACTGCCTCCCTGGACGCCCCATCTGTCGTCTCTTGTCTTGCACTTGGATTGTGAGCTGTCTGGCCCAGGGACCAGCTTTTTGCTCTGTCTGTACAGTGCCTGGCACAATAGGCCTGGTCCAGGACTAGGGCTCCTAGACACTAGGGTAACACAAATCCTGCCCCAGTGCCACGCAACCCCCCACAGCCCAGGCAGCCCACCCCCTCCACCCCGCCAGCAATTCCTGTGACCTGCACTCCCATACCAACCACAGGAGCAAGTTGGCCCAGCCTGCACCCCCTTCGCCAGGAGATACAGGCCAGGGGTGGCACGGACAGGGAGGGGTGCCACGTAGAGGCAAGGGGTGCCACCCGCCTACCTGCTGAGGAGCCGTCCTCGTGGTCAGAGCTGTTGTAGCTGCAGTCACTGCCTCTCTCCGGGGAGCTGCAGCTGGAGGAGTCCCTGCCAGGCACATCCAAGTGTCGCCTGTGTCTCCAGGGCAGCGGGTGCTGCTCTTCGTGCTGCACGGGGGAGCTGCGCCCATTCGTCCCATCCAGCGAGTCCAGGTCCCGGCTGTGCTTGGGCCACCTGCCCCCTATGGTGGGCGGCCAGCGGTGGGGCCTGTCCTGCTCCTCCCCGGACCCCCGGGGTAGGATCCTGAAGCCTAAGAGGACGGGATTCAGGAGGAACTTCTCACTCACATCCACCTCCTCGTAGTCGTGGTCAACGCTGCCCTCCCCGGGGCCAGGCGTGTTCTTGGCATGGGGCTGCCGGCCACGGACCTCCCTAAAGATGGGCTCACTGCCATGGGGGTGCCCAGTGGGGGGCTCGCTACCATGGGCCTGGGCAGGGATGGGGACAGGGGGATCGCTGCCATGGGGGTGCCCAGTGGGGGGCTCGCTACCATGGGCTTGGGCAGGGATGAGGGACTCGCTGCTGTGGGGGTGCCCAGTGGGGGTCTCACTGTCATGGGCCTCCCTGGGAGCAGGCACGGGGGGCTCGCTGCCTTGGGTCTCCCTGGGAGCAGGCACGGGGGGCTCGCTGCCTTGGGTCTCCCTGGGGACGGGCGCGGGGGGCTCGCTGCCATGGGCCTCCCTGGGGACGGGCGCGGGGGGCTCGTTGCCATGGGTCTGTCCAGGGGGGTGCCCGGCCTGGAGCATCGCTGCCCTGCTCAGTGGCCAGGCCATCTGGCCCCTCCAGGGTGCTCCAGCCTACAGGGTGCTCGTGCCTGGGGGGCTGCCGCCTGCCCTGCCTCCGGGCCCGCGGGGCTGGCTTGTGTTGCTGAAGCTGGTGCTGGATGGCTGCGGCCAAGCTGTGCACCGCGCGCCCCGCGGCTCCCCTCTTGCCAGGGGGCACGTCCGGGAGGGGGGCCGGCTCCTCTGCCTGCCCGTCCGGGGCGGGGGCCGGGGGCTCCCGGGCCAGAGCCGTCTCCAGGTAAAGGACTTTGAACTTCTCCTCGGCCAGCGCCCGCTGCAGCTGCCTCAGGTTCCCCCGGCAGCGCTCCAGCTCGAGCTCCATGTCCCGCACCGAGCCCAGCTGCATGCGGGGCGCCGGCTCCCCGGGGAACTCGGCCTGCCAGTGCCGCTGGAACTCCGCCGGCTCCCACATGCTGCCCGGCGCAGCCCCGAGCGCACGGCGATGGGCGGCGGGGCGCGGCGCCCGCGAGCAGCGATCCGATGCCCCGGGGATGGGCGGCGAGGAGGGATCCGATGCCCCGGGGATGGGCGGCGGGGCTCGGTGCCCTGGCTGGGAGGACGCCGCACACCAGCCCGGCGGAAAGTTTCTCTCTCCCCCCGGCAGCTTCCGCTCCGGAGTCCTGTCGGGGCCCTGACGTCGCGGCCCGGCCCCTCTCCGGCACAGACCCGCCTCCCCCTGGCCGAGCAGGCGGGGCCCGCGGGGAGCGCCCCGCCCGGCGCAGGCCGGGCTCTGCGGGGGGCGCCCCTCACCGTAGCGGAGCCGGGCTGCGCTGGGGGAAGCGGCCGCACCGTGGGGCGCCAGGCCTCGGGCTGGGCGGGGGGAGCTGCTGCCTGGTCCCTGGGATAACACTCCGACTAGCTCTCATGTATCATACCTGGCTCTCCAGCCTCCCCGGAGGGGACAATATCGTTATCCCCTTGTGCAGATGGGGAAACTGAGGCTCAGAGCAGCCAACTGACTTGCCCATGTGCCAGGTCTCCTGGATCCCCTCCAGTTATCCGTCCAGTAGGCCACTGTGCCTCTCAGCCACAAATGGCCACGAGCTAGTAACCGGAGCCCAGCCCCACCCAGGGAGAGGCCGCGCTGGGGCCCAGTTCTGATGCCCCAACACACATTGATTGTGATGGGTCTGCCCATGGAGCACGGGCATTGGAGGCTGGCTCAAAGCCACCCCTGCGCAGTGAACTGTCTTCAGAATCTTTGTGGGCCAGCGAAGAACCTGGAGCAGGTTTCCTGTGACAGAGTTGGGCTCTGGTGTTTGTTTCCCCTCCCGTCTCCCTCCACTCCTGTGCAGTTGAGCAGTTTTGCTCTCCCTGCCCACAGCTGCGCTAGAGACAAGGCAAAGTTATTGTTAAGCTTAATTTTGCAAGCGTGTTACACACACGAAGCAAAACCCATCAGCCAGGTGTGTCATGGTGACTTCTGATTGCGGTCCGCTTTCCATCCCCATCCTCCACCCCTGCGTTCCGTTCCTAACCTCCCCTCCACTCCGCCACCCCCAGGTCCCACGCCCACACCTTCTGTCCGCCCTCCAGCGTCCAGGCCTTCCAACCTGCCCCTCCAGCCCTGCTGGCGGGACTTTGCTTCTCCAAACATAGGAACATTTAAAAGCAGCGTCACTCTTTGACCTGACGCTGTTTACCCAAAGGCGAGGGGAACGGCGGAACGCACCAGGACGGTCACCCCGGTATCTGGGTGCTGCACGCTCTGTCATGGATCTCTGCGCACACCAACTCACTTGTCCAAGGTGGTAGAACAGAGAGCTGGGGGCTCACAGGCCCAGCCTAGTATCCTGACCCCACAACTGTAGTAGGCAATGAAAGAGCCTCATGATCTTTTACGTTTGACACCTTCCAATACCCCCCCTGCCTTGCTGGTACCCCGGGCTGCACTGTATCCAACCCAGGGAGAAGCCCCTCAGGGCAGGAGCCTGTCCTAGCTGGAGTGCCATGCACACCTATGATTCTTCAGAAGCAATAAGCGCAGCTGGCCCTGGGCACCAATAAATCCCTCCCCCAGCCCATCCTAACAGTTGGAAAATAATCTCCATTCTCGTCGTCCAAGATCAAGCAACTGCTTGGCACAAAAGCTGAGCTGTGCACCACACCCTGAGGTCTGGCTAGCCCACAGATTCCCAGAGCAGGGGTAACAGTGCTGGATAGCTGCAGTCAGGGTCTGTGCTGCACGTCTTGGAACCGGCATTTTCCACTGGCTTCATTGCACGCCACCAGAGCCACCGTTTGTAAAGCATGGTCACAGGGGTGCTGGCTCTTCACGGAGAGGCGGGATCAGGTGGTTATCAACAACCGCAAGTGGCTCAGCTGCAGGAAGGGCTAGTGGGAGAGGGTCGGTGCTAGGGCTCCGTGGGCTGCTGGCTGGCGAAGGCTTTGGCTAGGCCGAGGGAGATGGGAGAAATAATAAACGATCCTGGAACCAGGCTAGAGGACGAGGCTAGGGAAAGCATGGAGAAAGGCTGGATGCAAACAAGGAAAAAGAAAAGGGTAGATTCTCTGGAACCAGAAGAACCAGCAAGTAGGAGGGCAGGAAAGGGAACCGGGGGAAATCACATGCTAGTAAACTCCCTAGGTAAGGACAGAAAGACGGGGGAGTTCTGAGGATTGCAGAGTGGAAATACAGTAAGAGCTCAGACACTGTCTGGTGGGGACGTGTTAGTGGAATGTAAAAATACAGAACGAGCAGGGAAGCGCCAAAAGACAAGGGTGCTAGGTCAACTAAAAATAAGCTGCCGGCTACCCAAATTCCTCCCTGAGACTGCAGTGGACGTGTGTGGTATGCCAGATGAAATGTCAGAAGAGGAAATATAGCAAGATAGAAGTGAAGATAAGGTGATTACTGCTAAGAGGCTACTTAGCAGAAGAGGAGGTGATAGCCAGCACTTGACACCTGTGCTGTCACATTTAAAGGAAGGATGCTACCAGATAGGTAACTTTAGGGTCTCCGATGTTCTGGACTAAGCCCTGGATTCCTCCACCTGTGAGATGCTACAGGTGCCAAAGGTAGCACATAACTGCAAAGGGAAAATATGTTCAGTAAGCGTAGAGGTAACCAGTCATTATATGATAACTGTGAGGAAGGGACAGAACAAAACTGTTGCAGCTGTGGAGGAAAACACAGCTCCGCATATGGTGGATGTACTGAGGCAAAGTGTGCTAGAGAAATACAAACCCCCAAATTACTAATAACATCTCACATGCAAGAGCTGCTAGGAGATAGCTAGAACTGGGGAAAGGGAATAGCCCGCAACAAATGAACGGGCGAGAAATAACCTGTGACATTGGGGTAAGGAGAAGATATAGTACTTATACAAAGAGAGGTTTCAGAGTGGGAGCCGTGTTAGTCTGTATCCGCACAAAGAACAGGAGAACTTGTGGCACCTTAGAGACTAACAAATTTATTAGAGCATAAGCATGAAGTGGTCTGTAGCCCACGAAAGCTTATGCTCAAATAAATTTGTTATACAAAGAGAGTCATCGTGTTTCTGATGGAAGTAATACATTGTACATCTCAAAACAGGGAAGAAAACAGAAAATTCAAATAATTAAAGCTGTTCAAAAGTACTTGTGGGTTAGCAACCTATCAGTAGAACGACTTCCTACCTTCCTAGGTGAAGGAAATATTGAACATTAAAAGAATGGTGGTGACGTCTTTCAGCTGGAATGCCCAGAGCCTAATAGTGCCTGGGCAGGAATGAAAGCAAAATATTCTTATGAAAATAAAGCCTGATATAATATGCACACAAGAGATTTGGCTAATAGGAAAACTAAGCCATAAAATCCCAGGATATGGCATAGCTAGAGAAACAGAAAAGGGTGGGGGTGTTTGCCCCTTCATTAAGGAGAGCCTGAACTACCTTGAAGTAGAGGTTAAAAGCTAACTATTGAGTACAAAACAATACAAAACAATTCTGGGCCTCTAACACTTTTCATAGATTCATAGATTCTAGGACTGGAAGGGACCTCGAGAGGTCATCGAGTCCAGTCCCCTGCCCGCATGGCAGGACCAAATACTGTCTAGACCATCCCGGATAGACATTTATCTAACCTGCTCTTAAATATAGCACCCAAGCCAGAAGTAGAGGTTATGGACCTGAAAGCATTCATTACAGATGGCACCTGCCTGTCTGTTAAGTGTGATGGTCTGAACAGTCACAACAGATTGTGCGGAAATAAGAAAAATTATAAAAATGGGAAATATTGAGAGCAATTCTTCGAAGAGGATAATTGAGTAACATTAAACCCTGGTGCACCGACCAGGCTCAATACAGCTGTCAGAAGCCTGGATCTGGGACTAGTGTTTAGCACCATAGCAAGTGATGGCTGCTGGGAAATGTGCAGAGGAGGGAATGGGTAGTGACCACTTCCCCATGTTAATTACTTAGCAAGGAAAAGGAAATGCCAAAGCCGAGGAGAATCTCCCCACGTGGAATCTCAAAAAAGCAATCTGGGAACTCCTTCGAACCAAAAGTGAGGAACACGTGACTGAGGAATTTACTAATGGAATCCGAAAGACAGGCAGAATGGCTATCCCTAGGATACCCACACTACCTAGAGATAGGACAAGTGCTCCATGGTGAAAGACGGAATGTGAAATGGTAAGTAGGGAAAGGAATAAAGCAAAAAGAAATAATCCTGAGATAGCGAGGACTTAATGAAATATTACAACGGTAAGGGGGTTGCACAAAGGGCTCTAAAAGGAGCAAAGAGAGGAAGCTGGGGAACATCCTGTGGGGAAATGAAGATACCAATGCAGCAGAGGGGTATGAACAAATTAGGAACAGGAATGGAACAAAGACTAAGAGCCTTGCGGGCGCAGGGCCTGGAGTAATAAGCTCCAACAAAGAAAACGTGGAAATTCTGGGCACCATGTTTCCCAAAGTCAGTAATGAGGAGGATGAGAGGGTAGAACTTCGGGAGAGAAAACAAGCATTCCCGAAGGATAATTATGAGATGACGATGAAGAGGTGGGAGGAGGATGTGGATATTATTTGAAAGTAAAACTTTAGGCATGTGGGAACTCCAAAAAGTGATAAGGAGCAAAAGAACCGCACCAGGCAAAGACGAAATAAACTCTGAAATGTTTAAACATCTACGTGAAAAACGTGAGGGCGATACTAACATTATGTAATAGCATAATGGAGAAAAGGTGAAATACCTAAGGCCTGGAAACAGGCAATCAGAGTCCCCGGGAGGAGACCAGGTCCGTGGACCTCAAGATCTGAGGCATCCAAACCAGCTGCCCACACAGCATGTTTTGGTAAAGCCATGTAAAGCATGGCCTCAGAGATGAATAGCACACCTGGAACGAAAAAGGTTCATACATGAAACACAAAGTGGGTTCGGAAGAGGGAGGCGTGCAACTGATGACACTGTAGGGATAGAGATAGAAGAACAAAAAAGCACGAGAACCGAAGAATCTAATAGAGTAACCTTCCCTGGCCACAGAAAAAGCCTGCAATGTGTTATGGAGAGAGGGTATTATAGGAAGAATGTACACATGGGTAAGGGACTTCTTATGCAAAAGAACGACACAAGTGCAAATAGGGAAAGCTTTTTCCAATGTATTCTCAACTGCAAATGGAACTCCACAGGCTGGTGTCATTAGTGCAGCCCTCTTTAACATCGTGATCAATGACCTCTGTAAGGAGATGAGTACAGGAACTGGGAGCACATGATTTGCTGACGAGGAAGCCCCTACGACAGGCTGAGGTGCAAGTGCCCCCAGCTCCAGGAAGCAGGTTGGCTCCTGTCGGAGATGTGAGAACAGGCGATGATTGAGCCAAGTGGTCTGTGGAGTAGAAACCTCTGGGAATAGAGAGGCCCCTGCAGAAGGCCCAGTCTTGGGGGAAGGGAAAGTTAGCACTGCTCCCCCACCCCGTAAGGCAACTCCCATCTTTTCATGTGCTGTGTATTTATACCTCCCTACTGTATGTCCCACTCCATGCAGCTGATGAAGTAGGTTCTAGCCCACGAAAGCTTATGCCCAAATACATGTTAGTCTCTAAGGTGCCACAAGGACTCCACATTGTTTTTGCTGCTACAGACTAACACGGCTCCCCCTCTGAAACTTGAGGTACTGAGTTAGTTGTATGTGGAAGAAATAAAACCAAAGCCCTGAAAAAAGGGCCTGAACCAGATTCTGAGTGTGGTGTCCCTCTTCCTGGGCTGAGGGGACAGGCCCGCATCCTATTATGTTCTTGGAGGGGGGAAACAAAGTCCTA